CCTTTCCTTTCCTTTCCTTTCCTTTCCTTTCCTTTCCTTTCCTTTCCTTTCCTTTCCTTTCCTTTCCTTTCCTTTCCTTTCCTTTCCTTTCCTTTCCTTTTTTTCTTTTGCTATAATAGGCCTAACTATCCAGTCTCCTCCTTTAAACACAGAGAGCCGCATATATTCAATTTATCCACAAGGTGGCACTCATACATGCTTGGCTGTATTTCTCATTTGGTAATGGGGGTAGGGAACATTTTAGTTTTCTATTCTCTTGAGCAACCTAAATCCTCCCTGCCCTTGTATCCAGGAAAGAGTTATGCAGCTTGCTTCACGGTTTCTAGTGCTGGTTCTACAGAATAACTGGCTGTGCAGGCCACGTAATCATTCCATACAATACTTCAGACTTAGATAATATCATTTATGGGATGTAGGAAAAAGATTATAAAACCTTGTATTACACTTTCCATACTTAAGTTATTAACTTCTAATCAAATAAGAGGATTCACCTTGTGTGAAAGTTGGAAGTCCTTAATGTTAATGAAGTAGTCCTTAATACATACTAATGAACTATATTTAGCTTCATCTCCAGTGTTACTGTAGTTGCTTTTAGTTAAGCTGCTGCAGGACCCGTGATTGATAGAACAGGTTTACAAGAAAGGGCTATCTCCCCAATGGGTGTCTACTCAGTGGGGCTAAGTGCTGTTTTTAGCAACAAGAAAAATCCTGCTTTAGAAAGTTTCATTTTTTTAATAGAAAAGGGAGAAGTCGCCTATATCATGTCCTCTACCATCACCATTTTCTTCTCAGACATTATCTGATTTATTTTCATTACTTAGCTAATTTCCATACTGATCATTCAGAAAACTTTTTTTTAATATTTCCTTTGGGTTATTCAGGACACCTCATTCTATAACTTCTTTATGTTGGAAGAATTTTTTTTTTTTTAATGTGAGCTGAACCCATGGCTTGCTAATTTGTTTTTTAAATGGAGTTTTAATCTTCTCCCACGGTGACAGGCACAGAGACTAGAAAAGGGTTCAAGATGGCAACTGAATCTTGTGTTGCTGATTTCTGGTGGAAGTGCTTCCTGGTTTAACAAGAGGTTGGGCAGGTGTTAATACAACAATACTACTTGACAGAGCCCGTCAGAAAAAAAAATGTACTGAGTGCCTACTGTGTGCCAGGAATGTTTGACTCAGTGCAGAGATTCATAAATTATTGATTATGAAATTCACTGCTTCTGTTGTTTCAAAATATATATTTTGTACATATAGCAGATATAAGAAATTATACATTTTTCAAACACTATGCATGTACATACATGCATGCTCTATTGTTTCAAAAGAAATACAATTTACATATAAACTATTATTTATTTAACATCCTAGGTTAACAGCAAGAAAGTTGCAGCAGATTAATCTTCAGAATATCTCATTTTTTATTTTGAGGAAAGGCCTGGGTAGTAAGAGTCCTGTGCCCTACTGGAGCAGCAATTTACTGTGTTCTGACAACACAGTCACCCTGGGTCAAAGAAAAGAAGGAGTGAGGAAATTATTTACTGCTCAAGAAGATAGATGAGGCCAAGTTTGTAACTTGAAAACAATATGCTGTATCTAATTTCCTCCAATTTCACTGTCACAATGATTTTTTTTTCTTATAGGTTCCTGCAATTTATGGCGTGGATACAAGAATGCTGACGAAAATAATTCGGGAGAAGGTGTGATCATCGTCTTTAGCCAAGTCTACATTTCTTCACATACTTTTGCCCTCAGTTCTTAAGGGACCCATCAGCATGTAAAAGCAAATCCTGCCAGCCTCTTCTCCTTGGGTCTCTCACTTTGCTTTACTCTTTCTAGTGTAGTTCTCAAGACAGAATACTTGATTGGTATGTTTGCAACTGGGTAGACCTGAGATTAATTCACCACGCAGGAGTTTATTGAGTGCTCACTATGTGTTGATTGCACCGACAAGTGGAGACATTCATAATTCAGCTCATGGGACAGGACAGGACTAGTAAGACCAGTAGAAAAGGTGACAAGTGCATGACAATTTTACCTAAACTGAAAATCTGCCTGCTGAAGAATCCAAATCAGAAAGTATACAGCAGTGATTCAGTTAATGATTTAGTTCTCTGGGAGGAATTACCCCAAAAATTAGTGCGTTATATTTCATTGGTGTGCCAAGTGAGCCTTGCATGCATTATCTCAATTATATTATCTTTATTTTAGTGACTAAGGTGGTGAAAGGAAAGTTTACCTTTTGCTTTTTTACCTGATTGCTGCAACACCTGACCCCTCCTCTGAAAATATCTCACTGCCACCTGCTTACTTCTTGCTAAAAGTTAACACTTTTTTCCTAAATGATGTCTTTATATTCGTAATCAGAAAGAAACACTCCCTCACCAATATTAACTAAGTTCTTCAAATGCAGCTCAAGCTTTCTCATGGAATGGTATTACATAAAAAATTTATGATAAAAATTTGAAAGTACAAATGTGAAGCAGATTCTTCAGTAAAATCTGTTGTGGATTCCTTGTTAGAACACAGAATTGGTCTTCTGTATCAGTGGCATCCACATTGACAGAAGCAACAAAATTTTTGGGAAAAATTGTGCTTCGAGTCTTGTTTTATTACTAAATGATACAGTAGAAAGAGCTATTTTTACAGAATTTACTTTTTAAGCACTATAAGTAATCTGGAGGTGATTTAAAGTAAACTGGAGGATTTATATAAGGGACTAAAACAGCCTCAGATTATCGTATTTCAGGAGGGTCTTGGACCCAGTCCCCCCAAGATACCAAAAGCAATTGTGTATTGACACCGGGTCTCTGTAAGCAGAAAGAGCAGGCTTTGGGCATAACAGTATAGCTACCTATCTATGACCACCAGGAAGATAGCGATGGATGATAGGATGATGCGGTAGGTTAGATAAAGTCTCCTTTTATCACAGGCAGTTTGACTTCTAAAAAAATTTCCAGAATAGATTAGCACAGATCAAATAGCAGTACTGCCTGTTTTATGTGTTTATAAACAATGTTAGTTCATAGCAAAAGTATCTATTATAGCTTTTACTTGTAGTAATAATAGGTTGAAAAGATTGTATTTAATTCAATATGTTTTAAGAAAAAGGGGAGAAACAAATAGCAGTATTAAGGATCATAAATATAGTCAAGAGACTATGTAACTTGGTTTTAAAAACTGAGTATATGCTATCATGAAATTTAGTAATGCAGTGTGGAAGTAAAGGAGGTTTTGGTTACATTTCCCAGATTTTACTCTTTGTACTGAAATGACCATCATGCCTCCATGGTGTGTTGGCTTTTTCTACCCTCATTCACTAAGTGACTTCTGCAAAGAATAAGTATAAAAGGAAAATGAACTCATTTGTGAAAACTTCATGGAGTGTTGAACATTCTTTAAAGTTCAGACCCATGGAAACATCTGGGATATTAGCATGTCTAAAGCTGTACATACTTTTATTGAAAATCCTAGCCAGGCGTGTTGGGGCATGCACATCTGTAATCCCAACACTCAGGAGGCTGAGGCAGGAGGATCATTGTGAGTTTGAGGCCAGCCTGGGCTACAAAACGAGCTCAAGGCCAACCTAGACTGCATAGTGAGATCGTGAGACCCTGTCTCAAAAAGGCAAAAAAGACAAAAAAAAAAAAAGAAAGAAAGAAAGAAAGAAAGAAAGAAAGAAAGAAAGAAAGAAAATCCTAGAATCTCATGATGTTTCATCTCACCCTTTTTGTGAGCTAATTTTTTTTTGGTACCTGGAACCGAACTCCGGATCTTGCCCTTGTTGGGTAGGTGCTTGTGCAGCTGAACTATATCCCCAGCCTGAGCTAATGTTATAAAAGAGTGTAGTAAGTTTTCATTCTTTTAAATTTCCACTTTCTCTCCCCAGTGGATTATTTTGCACACATCTCCTGTGAAATGTCTTTGTGTGCTATGCACCATGGAGTCAAAGGGGCACTAAATACTTTAGTGTGTACTAGCATGTGACTTGGTGACCTGAATTCTGATGCCTTTCAGCTTTGCCTACACTTTCCCATGGCCTCTGCCCTGAAAGAACTAATTATATTTCCTAGAATATTTCCCAATGTGTATGTGCAAATTACTTCATTTTCCAGTTGGGGAAGATGGAGATCTTCTAATGATAGTTATAGCTATTTATAAAGACATCTAAATCTTGGAGCAGCTGTTTAAAGTCCCCGTGAGATTATCCTGTCAGCACCTACCTCATTGCCTCCTTTTATCTGTCTAATTTTTTTAATTTGATAGGGTACCATGCTTGGGAAGATTGAATTTGAAGGTCAGCCTGTGGAGTTTGTGGATCCAAATAAACAGAATTTGATTGCTGAGGTTTCAACCAAGGTGAGAGATTTTCCTTCATATTTTGTAGCTTTTGTCTCATTCACCTTAGACTTACTTTTTCTGCAGTATTAACATTTTTATTTAGGCCTAGGTTATTTTTTAGAAGCACCAGAGTTGATGTGGAAAATGGATCTGATAGCAGCTAAAATATACATTGCAAAATCAATGCATTCAAAGTTATAACTTTTACTTATAGGTTTATATGGAAACCTTCATGCCCTGATTTAGAGAGTGGCTATTATTGTTTAGTCTTCTATATCCTTTTCTTATTCTTTAGGTTAAGGTCTTAATAATTTTAAATAAAGGAGTAGTGAATTGAAAAGAAATAAGGGCCACTATCCTGCCAGAAAGCCAATGGAATATCATAAAAATCAGACACAGTAGTCAGTCTCTGGTCATTTTATGCAGGGAAAGTATTCCTTCCCATTAATGACTTATTGTATTATGACTGACTTCAAAAATTAATGTTTGTGATGACTACTGTGCCACCCCATATTGATATATGTTTAGTGTATATTTGCAAGAGAGTGTAGAGCCCATTTTTCAAAGATATGTTGTTGGCCTTGATTGAATATCAGTGCAGGTATGAGTGAGCATCTTGAGCTACATTATTTGTCCTTGGAAAGCATAATAATCTGATGGGACAAGCAAGCAAGCAAATTACCACGTACAGAATTCTGTGATAAATGCTCTTTAGTGATATGCACAGGATGTCACGGGGCATGTACAGGCAGCACCAAAATGGGACAGGTGCATCAGAGAAGGCGCTGCAAAAGTTTTAGTCTTAGTAGGAGACACAGAGAGCCTATAGTTTAGTTATAGAAGTGGAGAATGAGAACTATGTTTCATGCAGAAAGAATGCCTCTGTGAACCACAGAGATGTGAAGCTAAAGTTTGGTTGAAGAGTTATGTGCAGTTTGATATGGCCGAACTGAAGGACTCGCACATATAGGTTCACAGATTCGGTCATGAGGAGTGAAGATGGACTGAGGATAGAGCGTGTTGCTGGCTGACCAGCAATATTGGAAGCTACGGGGACCACATTTAGTATCATGCTGGAGCAAAGCACAGGTGGATCGGGCAGGGGATCAAGTAACTAGAAGGTTAATGTGGCATTTTCCAAATGTGAGGAGCCCTGGCCTGGAGAAAGTCACCTTAAAAAATTCTGTGGACAAACAAGATTGAAAAACAGTGCCTGATGCATTCCTTTCCTGAGTAGTCCTAAGGCAAATTCCTGCTATCATGTCTTTGAGGTCTCGCATAACTTCTGTCATTCTCTATGGAGAGTGTGTACAGTGGCCCCTCTGTATCTGCAAGATCTACATCTGTGGATTCCACCAACATGACTGAAAATAATAAAAAATTCCAGAACAAAAGACAAACAAAAATCCTGTGTCTCTACTGAACATGTACAAATGTTTTAGTTGTCATTATTCCCTAAATAATATGGTGTAACAGCTATTAACACTGTAGCATTTACATTGTATCAAGTATTGGAAGTAATCTAGGGACGTAAAGTATGCTGGAGGGTATACGTACTTTCTTTGCAAATACTACACCATTTTATTATAAAATGGCTTGAGCATCTCTGGCTTTTGGTACCTGACAAGGCCCTGAAAGCAACTACCTATGCTGAGAGATAACTGCTGTGTTTGTGTAAAGATGAGCAAAAATGAGTATGACTACATTTTTAACTTTTTGAGATCAAGTTGAGTGGTCAAAATTGGCTGTTTCTTAATGTCACTGCAATGAAATTATTTTAAAGAATTTTACTTGATAAAAAGGTGTATTTGATTTAGGGATTACATATACCTTGTGACTATTTGATTATATGTCTTGGAAATGTTGATAACTATTCATTGTCTTTCATTGCAATTTGATGTAGCTATAGCTAAATGGTAATATTGCTTTACTTTGTAGTAGAAGTCTAAGGTTAAGAATGAATCTATAGCTTTCAAATTATCAGGTGGGGAAGATTACTTGTAGCATTCATCGATCAATTCCACAATAATTCCTAAGATTATTGCAAAACTAGGGATATTTTTTTCCAAAGTAGTCAGCAGGAGGAAAATAATATCAACACATTCTTTTCACATGAAGGACGAGGACTATGATATCGCCTTCTATACAGACTTTGTGGAGAGCCAGACATTTCAGTTAAAGTAAAATGCTCTTTTACACATTCAGGTTGTACCTTTAATATAAAAGCTTTGGTAAACTATAAAATCATCCTAAATCCAGATGTGCTTGCTGACCCCTGAAATCAGAAACAGTGTGGCCACGTGGCCCTTTAGGCTTCTCCTCTATTTCTGTTCTTTCTCCTTTTATGACTTTCAGGGCTGCCTCTTGTGTAAGTGCCTGTGAAAATCGATCTGCCTCTGAGCAGTGCTTAAGGCATAGATAACGATTATGATATGTTCTGTGATCCTTTTATGAGATCTACCATTTAAATGCAAACGATGGCACTGTAACCTAAAGGGACCAGAGGCCTACACTAGCTTAGCAATTCCTGTCTTGTACTGATTTTATCCATTTAGCCTCACTGCAAGAGTCTAATGTACAGTGATTCAGCTCTACCCCATCTGATCTTTATCGCCATTTGAGGATCAAGTGGTATTTAAAACATGATGTGTCTATTACCACATCTGTCTAGTGCTATGAAGAGGCAACAATAAATTCCATTGTTAATGAAGTGAAACATAGAAAAGCTGGTTGTTGCCTATGGAAGCAACCACTTTCTTAGGAATCTGTTATTACTGCAATCAAGAGAATGTGAAAGAGTAAAATACGTTTTTCTCATAAAAAGATGTAGGCTATGGCACTTGTGCCTTTCTGACGTTTAGTGTTAACTCCCCCTCATTTTCAAGTAGCTAATGATGAATATTTTAACCAATGTAAGTGCAAAGAGTTCCCAGTTGCATTTGTGACATAGTCTGTGGCTTGTAGTGGGGAATTCCCTCTGACTTTTCGGTTTTTAAAACGGCAGGATGTCAAGGTGTATGGCAAAGGAAACCCCACGAAAGTGGTAGCTGTAGACTGTGGGATAAAAAACAACGTCATCCGCCTGCTAGTAAAGGTAAGTACTTTGTCCCATCTCAAGGGCAGGGCTACTATTGCTTGTTAGTGTTCAACTGATTTCCTGGGTTTCAGAGGAAACTGGTGAATTCCTTCAGAATGTCTCTTCTTGGTGCCTTTGATCTATCCCTATTCAAATTAAAGATACAGACAGCTTTGTTAAAAAAAAAAAACCCTCAAGAACATAAAAACATGGGACAAAACTGATGACTGTTCTTACCACTTACTGACTAACATTTTGAGACCTACCACATTCACTCTTATTAAGGTTTAAAGACGACCAAAGCCAAAGTTGTCTGACAGTTCTTCCACTTATTTATCATGTATCACAAATTTGCAGGTTTTATGCTCTGTTATAGTAAAAAATTTCGTAGAGCTTTTATATCAACTTCCAGAAAACCTAATAAAATTAAACTTTAAAAATTTTAAGCAGAATTTAACCAGTATAATATTTTCTCCTTGTTCCCCTCCCACTTCCAGGTTCTGTCTGTCTCTGTCTCTGTATATTTAAGGCACTCCACTTCCATCTCTGTCTTTCTCAGACATATATAGGCTTCTATAGCACCAAGTTATTAGCGCTGGTGGCATAGATCAATGGTAGAGTACTTGTTAAATATGTGCAAGGCCTTGGTTTCGATCTTCAGCACATAAAAAGCAAAATCAAACACCAGATTAACCAGGTATAGAGGCATTCTTCAACCCACTTTCTTATTGTTAGAGAATATCAGCAATATCTAAATGATCATTTCAAATTCTTGTCCATTTTATTAATAAAATTTGCACTGGTTTCTTTCAGTTGCAGATACTGTGGGTGGCCTACCTAAGTTCCAATCTCATCTTACCATTTTAATTCATGTCACCTATTTTCTAGTTGCAGACTTCTTACGTCTCTCTGCCTAAGGGATATCTTTTGTTGGTTGGAGCCTGCTAGATGTCAGGAAATGCATACAAATTTCCTTGGAGAGCCCACAACCAATGACCAGAGTCAATGTGGACTTCTTTAGTCCCAGGGGTGGGAAATCACTAAGGCCTTCACAGTGGCACTCAGAGTTCTCCAACGAACTTAATCTCCAGGAGTCCACAGCAGTGGCTGCTTCATAATGTAATCCTTACTATGTTCCACATTGTGGGTGTCCCACAGTGTCACTTCTCTATCCTGTTGGTATTTCTTGGAAAAACCTTCAAATAAACATTTTTCTCAAGTCCTTCTCAGAAATGCCTAAAGGGAAAACTCAAAAGTACTTTCCTATATACTTTTATAACAAAAAGCTCCATTTTCCTCCCTCAGAACATACATAACAAGAGCAAACCCTAGGAAAGAAAGTTCATTAAAATTTAATCAGATAGAAAAGGCAAAAGAGGAAAAGGCGTGTGGTGGGCTAACTTAAATGCTGTAGGAAACGGGTGTTTCTTTGCTTGTAACTCTGTCCCATAGCTAGTGAGGGTACCCTGTACCCACGCAGATGCACTGAGACTATGCATGAAATACGCAAAAGTGGTTTACCTATCTTTTCAGAATGAAAATTTCAGTGGCCTTTCCCCTTCACCTTTTATTGACCAGTGGCTCCATTTCTATCACATAAAACACAATTAGCCACTCAAAGAACTTTATGCTTAGTATTTTGTATTTAAATTGTCTGTAATATTTTCCTTTTCTTTAGTGAAGGATTAGTCAAGTACATTTTGGCTAGAGAAAATGTCATATATCATCTCTTGTGTTTCTTTTCCAGCGAGGAGCAGAAGTGCATTTAGTTCCCTGGAATTATGACTTCACTCAGATGGAGTATGATGGGCTTCTGATTGCGGGAGGACCTGGGGACCCCACTCTTGCACAGCCACTAATTCAGAATGTGAAAAAGGTGCAGTAAACTTGGGGAAATGTGTGTGTGTGTGTGTGTGTGTGTGTGTGTGTGTGTGTGTTTGTAGAGGGGTGAGGGCCACCTTTGATTCAGTGATTTGTTAGTACTTGGATTTGTGACCTTTGAGGCAATTTTAGCATAGATATTCTTTGGGGAACCCAACATGGAGAGAATTCTAGAGGAAGCATAGATATTCTTTGGGGAACCCAACATGGAGAGAATTCTAGAGGAACTTTTCTTTAGGCTCCTGTCTTTTAGTTAAAGGGGCTGGAACCAATCTTCACATGTATCTTTCCTTACAATTGCAAAATGATGGCTCAGGTTCCTCACCACAGCCTGGTGACCTAAAAGACCTTCATGTTTCCAAAGAAGAATTCCATTAAATTTGGTTGAGTCTGAATGTCAAGTACACCTAATTGAATTTTACTGAGATAAATTCATCAATCATGTCTCTTAGATTCTAACTTTTAACTCAGTTGCTATTTCCTTTACCTTGTTCATTAAGAAAGCAAAAGAAGGATGCTTCATTTTTATCCTTTCAGTGGGAAGTGAAATCTTTTGGAGCTGTGTGCTAGGTTAATAATCATCCTCTCGGATTTAGGTTTTGGAGAGTGATCGCAAAGAGCCATTGTTCGGGATCAGTACGGGAAATCTAATAACAGGGTTAGCTGCCGGTGCCAAATCCTACAAGATGCCCATGGCCAACAGGTAAGGCAGTTCTCCTTGTTTATGGTCAAATTCACTCTAAAATATCATGGTAGCCAAACACAACTGACTAAGAAAACCTATATGTCATTTCTTCAGGATACATGGATAACCATCCTATTACATAGCTCACACTTCTCTGACTGCCTGATACCACTTTTAACTGCATTTGTGAAAGGCAGCCTTCCCTAACGATAACTATGCTACAGTTTAAGGTTATTTTCCTTTCCCTGGCATAAATTGAGGTTAGAATACTCAATCAAATGGTACAACAGGGGAAATGGTTCTGATTTGAAGCTCGATTTCAGGGAATCGATAACACTTTAAGAAGCTAGTTGACTTAAGAACTGAGAACTGTTCAGATCCCTTTTGTTTCACTTCTTTGCATCAGATGATGTTAATTTATTCAAGGCCAGGTGCTCCCTCACAGCCCACCCTCCCCCACATGAATTACAATTCAAAATAATTCAGGTCTGCATAGTTGTCTGATTATTTTCTCCCAAGAATTCTCCTCTGGCTTTAAAATTACTTAAAATAAGTCACTTACATTTGTCTGTTTCTGTTATGCTAGTGAGAAACTCTTTTAGTTATGAGTGCTTTTCTAAAACCGATTATAGGGATTTAATAGACCTGATATTTAACACACGACAAAGCTTCCTGAATTGATTTTTGTTGCTAAAATTATTGAGATTAACAATCTGTGACTTTTCTCACAAAGCGATTTTTCGCTAAGCAATTGAAACTTTTGAGTTTTAAGAGGCTTTTCTTGTTCACTACTTTGTAACTAATGCATGTATACTCTTTCCTCTTTCCCCTTGTATTCTTTTTCCTCTTTTCTCTGCAGAGGGCAGAATCAGCCTGTTTTAAACATCACAAATAGACAGGCTTTCATTACTGCTCAGAATCACGGCTATGCTCTGGACAACACCCTCCCTGCTGGCTGGAAACCACTTTTTGTGAATATCAACGATCAAACAAATGAGGTGAGCGATGTCTATACATCTGTTCTGGTGACAGTGAAAAATTCAGGGCTTTTAATACTCCCTAAGGCAGATGTGGTTTCCTGTTTGTGTGGAATGTTTGGGTGTGTGGGTATGGAGGAACTTCATATGTCATTTCCCATAGTCCTCCACGCTTCAGAAAATAATTTCTTTCTTATTTTTTCCTCACTTGACTCATTATGATTCACTGTTTGCATCCTTAATCAACAGTCACTTTCCACATTCATTGTTAAAGGCTGTTAGTTCAGACCTATTTCGGCCCAGTTCTGGGACTCAGCACTGGAACAGCTCTTGAGAAGATACTTGGAGAAATAGTCTAGAAGCTGGAAATAATAGAATTGAGGTTTATCTTGAGCAGAGCCCACAGGGGCTCCAAAAGCTAGGGATCATTTTTTTTTTTTTTTTTGTTACAGGGAACCACATTCATTTTAGTCTTCACTGGTTCATTTCCCAAGATTCTTACCTAAAATTCCTTACCCCAGATTCTGATATGTTAGTTCTTAGAATCTCCAGTCATGTTTCTTAATAGTACTGTTGGTTTTCAGAATGCTATTTAGCATTTAACTCAGTTTTTCCTTTTTCATTTGAGCTGCATTGTTTATGTAGTAACACACGGCCACAGTTGACATTTGTTGTGACAGGAGGAATTTCTTTCTGTTTCTTGTTCCTGCAGGGGATTATGCACGAGGGAAAGCCCTTTTTCGCTGTGCAGTTCCACCCAGAGGTCAGCCCAGGGCCCACAGACACTGAGGTATGTCAGAAAGACAAAGGCCTTCAAAAATGTATTTCTGTGAAAACTCAAGCAATGAAAATAATCGTTGCAGATAATCTTGGTGCAGAATAGTCTCAAGAAAAGTGCTTTGGTAACACATATTCTGTATTAAAATTTCCTCATGAATATCACGGAGTAAATTACAATCTTTTTTTAAAAGAGGGAAAACCCTTAAAAAACCTGAAGAAATGCTATGATGCTATTTTTATTAAAACCCATTATCATTCTAATATGTTTAGTCTTGAAATTTACAATTGTTGTGCTATGCAAATGAATTCCCTCTTGCTCTCTCCTTCTCATAACTGAAATGAAATTTTAATCCCCCATCTGTGAGTTCAAAAAAATCCCTATGGCAACTGGTTGTATAGCCACTAAAGGAGAATAAACACCAGCGAAAGGAAGAAGAGGGACGGGGTGAGGGGAGAGTGAGGGCTGCTGGCACATTCATGCCCTTTAGATGGCTTAAGAAAAGAACCAAAAGGAATGCTTCCAAGAGTTTTGTTCCTAATCTGAATATTTTTACTTTTGAATGTGAGCTCTTGGTTCAGTGTTGAAGCACAGCTTTCCAAAATACAAGCTCACAGTGTCACCTGGAAAAATCATGAAAGTGTGCTGTGTTTCTTCCTGTGTCACACCTAGGGACCTCCAGTAGCAGTATTGATAGCTCCTCCCTGATGATAGTCTTAGGTACTTTTCCAGTTGCTGAGACAAAATACCCAATACCCAAAGTTAAGGGAGGGAAGGTTTATTTAGCTCACGGTTTGTAGAGGTTTCAGTCCGAGGTTGGCTGGCTCTAAGGCAGAGTGGCACATGGCAGAGGGCAACAGTTCATAGTGGGCCGTCTATAATTAGCTGGCTCCAAGGCAGGGTGGCCTGGCCAAGGAAAACAGTTCCTGTTGGGCAGAATGTAGTTAAGTAACAGGGGCCTTAACAGCATCTTTCTACCCCTTTTGTACTCTATCTAGGATTAGGGCGGTGCCAAACCAACCAGTGGACTGATTTTGTAATCACCCACCCTTAATTCCAGCATCACACACTCTAGATCCAGTCACCTCTGAAACTCCCGCCCCAATGCCTGCATGAAGCTTTGGGGGAACATCTAGACATAAGCCATAACAATAGGTACTTTTAGAAAAGACATCCTGGTAAAATGAAGAGGAGAATAAGAATTTTCTTTCCACAAATTCTGCTCTTTCAAATCTAAATGGCCTTTTCAGATACTTGTATTTAGTTTGTATTTTCATATCACTAAAAAACATTAGTTCTTAATAGTCAAAATTGCTATGATACTGCCTATTTGTGATGAAACATGTAAATAATAGTTATATATTTCATCTGACACATGCTTTTTTTTAATTTAAAATTTAAATCATTAATCATATTAGCACTTCAGACTAGGCCATGTAATCTTTGTGCTATGATTTAATCCTCTTTTTTCCCTGCCAAATGATTACAAAATGAATACCTTTGTTGAAATTTATCATGTCTACTGAAAAAACAAAAAACTCATTGGTAGTGTTCAAGATTAATCTTTAGAGATTACTTTTAGAGCTTGCAGAAACTTTAAAAACAGTATAATTTTAAGATGCAAAGTGATACAGTTTTATTTCTTTGGTCTAAGTCTAATTTGATTTTGAAGAAAATGATATACAATGAAGGGGCTGAAAATGATATTTACAGAAGGCCTATGGAATCTTTATTTTCTGCTGAAATCATCTTCTTTTTAAGACTTGAAGGGAACAGTTAGAAATGTTTACTTGATCTAATTTTTATCGTAATAGATATTTAGTTACTGACAAAAATAAAAAATCAAAAAATTTAAACTTACACCAATAACAGATCCCCACATACTGTGTTGGAAAACTTTTTCTAAAAAAACATAATGTCTTGGAAATATATACTGACAAAATCAATACTTGTTACTTATCTGAAGTTCCAAGTTAACTAGTACTCTGTATTTTACCTGGCAATCTGAGGAGCTTGTTAGCTTCTAACTTGGTTATATTTCTTTTCTAGTATCTCTTTGATTCCTTTTTTTCATTGATAAAGAAGGGAAAAGGTACCGCTGTTACATCTGTTCTACCGAAGCCAGCACTGGTTGCATCTCGAGTTGAGGTCTGTATATGTGAGCTTGCTTTTAGCATATGCTTTTGAATTTTCTTTATCATGTGCTGATTTTTAAGTGAATAATATAAATCACACGAATCTGTATGAAAGATGATTGGGAACATTGTTTTTACTTATTATTTCATAACTAGTTACTGTATTTGGATTGTTCTTAAAGATATTGTTTGGAGTTCTATTTTCATTTAAAATAATATCTTTTAAAATTTACTTCTTCCAGAATATTTGAACTAATATAATTTAATAAAAAAGTGATTCACTTATAATTTGATGCATTTTACATTACTAAAAATTTTATAATCCTATGTAATCTGAGATGCAATTCAGGCTATGGAGTCATTACAGTTGGTAGAATTATTTTTGTTTCAATTGGAAGAAATACTATTCAATAGCATAAATGAATGATATGATTTTATATAAAATAAAAGGCAAATAGATACAGATTAATATAGCATAAGACTTCAATACTTATTTGGCTATGTATATGTTAATCTGCCCATTTTCTTCATAAAGTACATACAGGCCAACACCATTGTTATGTAAACAAGGATGTATGTGTATTTTCAACAATATGTACATATATACAAAGCTATATATTCACATATATTCGTGCAGATAATTCTTGATATTTGCATATGTTTAAGTCAATGTAAAACGTCTTTTGGATTTCTTTTATTTCTGTTAAGAACATGTTCATGAACTTCAGAAAGTGCAGTGAAATTAGAGATGTTTAAATTATTAAACTTTTCCCCCACATAATATGTTTTTCAAAACATTATACTTAAAATTACTACATAAACTCGGGCCATCTAATTTATCTTCTACCCTCCTGAAAATGTCTTGTTTCCATCATTTAGTAATAAAAGTCGTTGTCTTTTTTCATATTGTCTGTAGGTTTCCAAAGTCCTCATCCTGGGATCAGGAGGTCTGTCCATTGGTCAGGCAGGTGAATTTGATTACTCGGGATCTCAAGCTGTGAAAGCCATGAAGGTGAGAGAACATGAGCTCCACTAGAAATAATATATTCTCCTTAATGAGTCTAATTAGTGTTTTGTAATTTAGATTTATGACAGTACCTCTTTTCAAAGTCACTATCATTATTTTCGTAACTATCCTTACAAATCTATATGAAGGGAAGTTTGATCACACATTCAAATTTTCATTTTCTCAAATATGCATATCTACCAATTAAAGAGGCTACATTGGATCCCAAAGTTACTTAAGTTATTGACTACTTATACTGAAAAAAACAACGTCACATTTAAAGATACTGTTCATTCCTATGGAGGTGATATACTTGTCAAACATATTTATCTTTCATGTGAGAGAGGGAGTTTGAGCATCTTGGTGGCTTAAAGTAATTCCCATGCTGTGAAGATGCTTCAGGGATCTCTACAGTGGAAGTGGGAAGCTCCCTTTGGGAGAGTGAGGGCAACAGTGGTTTTCATCTGTGCACTAGGCATTATTAGCTTTCACTAGGGCACTCGGTTCCTTATTAGTGATTTGGAAAAATGGATGGGCTGGTTGGATTTTTCAAGTGAAAAAGGAAATTAGAAGTGAAGGATGCAGTCTCTATTTCTTGTCTGTCTTGAGATCTCAACCATGGTAATAAATCTTTAGAAGAATTCTGTTGTATGTTTAAGGTATATCTGTTGAAGAGGTAAATTGGCCTCTCTGGCATCCTTATTTTCCCCATTGTCTGTATCTTGGTGCTAATCAGACCATCCAGAGGCAATGTGAGCACCCAGTGACCTTGTCTCAGGCTTTGCCCAGTGAAGGCATTTGCCAGAGACCTGGCTGGTATAGAGCAGCAGGGCAGTGTCAGCAGGAGAATGGAAAGCAGTTGACTGAAGTTTTCTTTCTTTCTTTCTTTCTTTCTTTCTTTCTTTCTTTCTTTCTTTCTTTCTTTCTTTCTTTCTTCCTTTCTTTCTTTCTTTCTTTCTTTTTTTTTTGGTTTTTGGTTTTTCTCCAGTACCGGGAACTGAACTCATGACCTTGCGCTTGCCAGGCAGGCGCTTCTGCCGTTGAGCTAAATTCCCAGCCCCTCTTTCTTTCTCTCTTTCTTTCTCTCTTCCTTCCTTCCTTCCTTCCTTCTTCCTTCTTTCTTTCTTTCTTTTTTTCTTTTTCTTTCTTTCTTTCTTTCTTTCTTTCTTTCTTTCTTTCTTTCTTTCTTTCTTTCTTTCTTTCCTTTTTTGTAAAGTATTGTGTAATCAAAGACTTTCCCTAGTAGACATCTAGAGAAAAGAAGAACATAGGAAGACCTTACTGGTCTTCCTATTTGTCTTCTTTTTTTCATAGTCTTCTCCCTTTCTGCATGGGTGTACATGCACATGTACTTTTTGGACATATTTCCAAAATAATACCTTCATTGTCTGATGACTGAATTTCTTATTAGATCCAGAATAGAGGTCAAATGCTTTACATTGGTTAGGCAATCTAGGTCAATCATAGGTCAATCTCGATGTGTTCAGGTTTTAAAATACCTTCAAATGACATAACATTTTTATGCTATTTCGGAATTTTACAAAGGTTTCACATTTCACAGTTTGTATTTTTACGTTGTGTAGCCATCTTTAGCTGAAGAGCATAAATTATTAGATATTGTATTGTGGTTCATGAAGAAGTTAATAAAGATTAATTTATATGCTAAAAGCATTACTAAAATTACATGGCACTTGTGTTATAATCAGAATTAGGAAAAATAGAAAAATAATGTAAAATTAATTAAAATGACATGAGCTTTGAAGTTTTTAAATGAATAGATGTTTTATGGGCATGGTGGTTCAGGTCTGTAATCCCAGCATTCTGGGGGTCTGAGCCAGTAGGATCTCAAGTTTAAGACCAAGCTGATGGATTTAGCTACTTTGTGAGATGTAGTCTCAATATAAAAAATAAAAATATATCTCAGGATGTAGCTTAGTGTGAAGGTCATGGGTCCAATCCTCAGTACTAGAAAAAAATGGAAATGCATGAGTTCTTTCTGCAAATTTATAAAAAGTCATATTTATTGATTAGCACATTCAGGAAAACATGTAGGTATACTTAAATTTCTTGTTACTTGAGTAGAGAGACTTGGTATAACTTCTGTTAATGATGTGGTTTTCAATTTTGGTTCAATTACTTACATTCCAATATACTTTCAAAATGGATTTGTTTTTTCTGTGTCTTTTCAACATTTTGTTAGTAATAACAACACTTTCATCCTAAACCATTTTTTAAAAAAGTCTTGAGCCATGACTCACACTGAGGATAAAGCGCAGGACTTGAGTCATAACCCTGGGTTTAGAGTCCTAATATTGCCACCTATCAGCTATTTGACCTTTGTCAAACTCTTTAATCTATTAATTTTCAATTTCTTCATCTAAGAGGTAGAACTCCCTTTCATAGTCACTATAAAAATCAACTAAGTTAATAAAAAGTATGTTGTATGCATTAAGGCACTACTTAAATACAAAATAGCATACAATACATTTAATTTTTATTAGCTACTCCTCCACGTATGCACAGGGCTTTGAAAGGATGATTTCTATACTTCCATCTAAATATTTTGTTGACTTTTTAGAAAAGTTTAAAATTGAGGTACTAACGTGAAATAACAGGAACCATTTGGCCATAGTTCATAAGAATTACTTCTCCCTGAGCGACCCTCATCCTACTTTATAAAATTATTACTCTTAGTGGCCTAAGTGAAGAATTATTTTTAAAGTCTCTTTAGATGTAGAAATGACATAAGGCTATGAATACCATCCTGCATATACTGGGCACGTGTACACACATGCATACCTATGAGACATACCTTCAAAATACAACCACTAATTTATATTTTAATTGTTTTGCCATGTGTCATTTTCTTTTTATTTAATGTGCAGAAACTGTTGCATAGTGCTCCTTGTTAAAGTGATACAACAGGCATGAATCTTTGGAAAAAACTGGGCTAGCAAAAAGCTCATAGTTCTTCTAGCAAGAAGGGAACACATTGTCCTACATTTTAAATGTATATTCCGTTTTTCCCTGACAAATAATAGAAGAGATGACAGCTTTTGATGTTGTCTTGGTTCCATTTCATGTTTACTCATTTAAAAATTTTTGGAATATTTTGATCTTTTAAAGTCAACTATTTGCAGACCTCTAAACAAATTCCATAGACATGGCCTCCAGCTTTGCTTGATGCCTTTAGCGATAAGGACTTCTTGGTGATCTTTGTGAGGCACCCTTTTTTTGTTGTTGTTGTATAGTTTTGCTTTTAAACAATGTATTCTTTTCTTTGAGAAAATGCTTGTCTTCATTTTATTTCCATTCACTTGCTGTCTTACTGATCTCTAAAGCCAGCCCCCTGAATAGTCCGAAAGCGTTATTACTCGGTAACCTTTCATTCGATGGTAGCCGTTCCCTTAGTTAGACCATATATTCAAGTACTTGATCACATGGTTTCTTTCAGGAAGAAAATGTCAAAACTGTCCTGATGAACCCAAACATTGCTTCAGTTCAAACCAATGAGGTGGGCTTGAAGCAGGCCGACACTGTCTACTTCCTTCCCATCACCCCTCAGTTTGTCACAGAGGTCATCAAGGCAGAACGCCCCGACGGCTTAATTCTAGGCATGGGTGGCCAGACAGCTCTGAACTGTGGTGAGTGCTTTGAAATCTGGTTGCAGAATTTCGACCCATGTGCTTATGCATTGTATACTCTCCGGTTTTATCTGAATCCACATAATAATTGTGTTCCTCTCTTCTAACATGTGAAGAAGCAGTTAGCAAGGGGCCATCTAAAATCATCATCTGATGCCTGGTTTGTTTCACAAATACCTGAGAGACAAGAAATCTTTCTTTTTATTGCTTTAGAGTAGCCAAATAGGCTTCTTGGCATTCTCTCTTCTGTCACAGGATTTGCTCTCCTCTTTTGTCAACAAACGTTTAAGAGCTGTTACAAATGAAAAGTGAAAATTTGTATTGTTTATTTCATTAAAGTGAAAGTTAACATTGATTTTGTATGAGTCCTGCAGCATCTGTTTTTGTGGCTTTCACATGTATTGTCATCATAACATACATCAGTCTCTACCTTTTCTTCAGGGATTCCCCCTAGTGCATTGCTTTACTCTCTTTGCAGTGCTTCAGATATTTGCAGCTCGATCACGAGTGAGAATCTCTAGGTAGCTAGGGCAAGCAATTGGGAATATAATTTCTATGCTAAACAGTAAAGACACCCAAAGTTAGATGGAAGGCAGTAGAACTATAAATAATTTGATGATTTTTAAAAAAATCAGATAGATACCAATGTATCTCAGATTATTTAAATAATAGAATCTCATTATAAGAATATTACCTTTAAAGGAAGGGGAACGTGCTGAAATCTTAAGGTGCAGTGTATGGCTGTGATTTATTTTAGTAAGGATAATAAAATTGATGTGCAGATGGTGGTAATATAAGTATCAGGAACACAAGAAATACGTTTTGTGAGATAGTTTTCAGAATTTTTGGTTCAATTCTTTTTCCAAGTGTAATTCTATTCTGGACTGTAGTGGTTTCATGGATTTAATTTTATGATTAAAAAAAATTATGGTTAGGTATCTGTTGAGGAACACAGGGTTTGATGTTGTGAGAGCTAATTATATTGGTTCTTCTGCAGGAGTGGAACTATTCAAGAGAGGTGTGCTCAAGGAATATGGGGTGAAAGTCCTTGGAACTTCAGTGGAATCCATTATGGCCACAGAAGACAGGCAGCTGTTCTCAGACAAATTAAATGAGATTAACGAAAAGATTGCTCCAAGTTTTGCAGTGGAATCGGTAAGGAATCCTCATTCTTGGGGAATAAGGATACTATTTGTCTGGCATTGTAGGGAGAATCCCTTTGTCATGTTTAGCAATAATAGTTGAAATTATTAAACCTGCATTTTATTCCAGAAATATGTTAGTATATTTAGGATAGTGTGTGCTAATGATAGCATTCAATGCTTAAATGTTAGGAATAGGTGTTAATGTTTTATTTTATGAAAAGAAAAACCTAAGACCAGAGATGAACCAGTTTATCAGAGGTGGAAGTGCCAGTGAACCTCAGATTTGCTGAAATGAACCCCAGAACCACATTAATTTGCAATACTAAGTTAATGTTTGCTATTTTCCTGGGGCCAGTCACATATCTGGTATATGTGAATGCTCTGCAAATGAGATTGAATTTAAAACATTTTTTGAAGGGGATAAATGTTTTAGACTCATGGGAAATTTGTGACTTAGACATCTAAAAAAAGGGTAAATAATTTGCTTTCCTATTACCCATTTGCACTGTATACTCTGCCTATTGATAGGCTGTTAATGTCGCCGAGAAAAACTCACCTAGTTGTATACCTGTTTTGCCCCTGACTTTAGTTTCAATTTCAGGCATATACTTGGTGAAGTGGAGATGCTAACAGCGGTTTTAATGCAACTTCCCAATTGTAGAAATAGGTAGATCCTTAGGAATAAGGCAGCTTCTGTTGGGGTGACTACCGTTGGGTAATTTATGTTTCATAGAAGAAAGCTACCAAGTATCTTTCACATTACAGGCATATGGGAGAGGTCCATTGGTAGTGTAATAATATTCCACGACAGAAAAATAGAGCCACCATATGTTGTATTCTAAGTTAAAAAAATTTTTAAGCTTCCAAGACTATCCTTGGAGTGAACTTGAAAAATGAAAATTTTCTTTCTATATGGTATTCTTAATGGCTTATTGTGATATTACTAAGATAGTTCCACCAGTAGAAAACTTTGCTTCATTTAAAAATAAACTTTTACACTGAAATTAAAAATTCATTAATTTGATATATGTTCCATTATCAAATGTATTAATGATTATTTTTGCTTCTGTGGTTTCATTTTTTGGGATCAAAGTATAATTTACCAGAAATAGTGAATACACACACATTTACTAAAACACCTCTCCTAAAATTCTAGAATTTTACTTAATTTCTGTATAACACTTTTTTATTTTTTATTTTTTAACCCTTGATTTTTAGAAGATGAAAGCATATTTTCATATCTTCTCCAAATAATTGATTTATCTGAATTTCCAGACTCTATCTTTATCAGCTATATCTATATCATATTTATACCTATACCTATATCATCTATATCTATATCTGATCTATATCTATATCTAATCTGTATGTATATCTGTATCATATCTTCTATATCTATCTAGCCTATCTCTATATCTATCTCTAAGTCTATATCTATATCTATCATCTATCTATATCTATCTACACCTATATCTATATATCATCTATATCTTTATCATTTGTATCTATATATATATTACCCCCCTCCTTTTTTTGTACTGTGGTCAGTTTTTCAAATTTGGTGTCCTTGGTCTTCCCTCCAGATTGAGGATGCCCTAAAGGCAGCAGACACCATCGGCTACCCTGTGATGATCCGTTCTGCTTATGCACTGGGTGGGTTAGGCTCAGGCATCTGTCCCAACAAGGAGACCTTACTGGATCTCAGCACGAAGGTAGGTATTTTTATAGACAATATTCTTACCAACCAAATAACTGGGCTGAGATATCCATTTAATTAGAGAATGTTATGTACATGAAAAATGACCCCTTCTTTATTTGCTAAATCACTATCTTGTTCTTTAAAATATTGTCAAAAAGACTAAAATGTAGTGCAGTTATTTCTGCCAGGATGATAGCCAACATAGTTCTGGGTGAACCAGTGGTCACTCAACCTTAAAGTCTGTCTTTATTTTACAGTCTATTGACTTCAGTGATACAAACAATATAATTCTACCTCCCTTTGCTTCATCACCCACTCTAAAATATTCATAATACTGAAACATATTTTGGTGATTTAAAAAAAGCAAGATGCACTGCTTCAATTTTTCCATCTTTTTGGGAAATAATGTGACAATCCAGTAAAGGAAACAAAGCACCATGCATAGTTTTGACTACCCACAATTCAGATGTGTATGCTACACACAGTATAGAACTCTCAGTTTAGTAAATGATTGAGCTTTGTTTATTAACCTGAAAACATAAAAACAAAATAACTTTAATATATTAATACTTCTTCAATGTTTTTTGTTGTTGTTGTTTTGTTTTTTTTGTTTTTCTCCGGTACCGGGAACCGAACTCACGACCTTGCGCTTGCCAGGCAGGCGCTTTTGCCGCTGAGCTAAATCCCCAGCCCCAATACTTCTTCAATGTTAAAGAAAATATCTGGAGAAAATTTAGATTAGCTCTGAAATTAGAGATTAACCCAGGAAACACTGCTCCAGAGACTTTTGGCTATGTTCTTTGTCCACAGAACATAACTGGCAATACTGGAGACTGAGTCATTACCTTGAATGGATGAACATGTGTGCAGCCCAAACAACTGTGCAACTCCTATGCAGCATAAAATTGTAATCTGGAAGTGTTTTGTGAAGGCTTTTTTAAGGAGTGCTTAGTAAATAGCTCAACTACAGCTTGTTGCTCTATCATTACTTACCTTTTAGGCTGACACAAAAGGAGAACCTTGAATTGTTAGCATTGCATTTTGAGAACAAATAAATACAATTCAAGATATCAACATGGCTATGACAGACTTATGTGTCAACGACTTGGATTTAGGTTTTCTAAAGTTGCTAAAATTATCATAAAAAGGGAACTATGTTTAATATAAGTTTTTCTGGCTTTTATTCTGTAATTCTCAATCGTATGTTTAAAGCAAGAACATGTTTTGAAGATATGAAATATATTTATTTTCTCTAGCACAGTAGATGCTCTAAGTTTCCTGAATATTAGTAATCTCATTATTATTATTGTCAACAGTGACTTCAGTTTAGGAATAACTTTTCACTGCACAGAGAGCAATTTTGAATTCCCAAATTTTTATGTAAAATGAAGACAATTTTGGAGTGGGACAGTTTTCTAATCATTCACATTCTGTTAGAGTAATCAGTAGGCTGCTGTATGCTTTTCCTTGTTGAAAACTCAACTTTTCCCTTGAGATTAATCACATCATGACAAACTAAGCTACCCCTTATTCTTTTTTGGTTGTCTTAATACCAGTGGAGGATGCATTAACCTCTCTAGGTCCTAAAGTTACCTTTTGAGATGTGAAATGAAGAATAAAAAAAAGCTGAGAAAAACAGGTGGAAAATATCTAAATTTTCTATGTATCCAAGTAGTCATTTGCTTTGTTAGAATGGAAAAAGCTATTCTGAATTCATACCCCGTGTTTCCTATATTTCTTCTATTTGCAGGCAAACCAGATGATAGATTAATCATTATTACATTGTTAGCTTTGGCGACACAGTGTCCTAACCATTTTTAGAACATCCTCATGGGCAGCTGTGGGGACAAATGTGTCACATTTGCAGTTGCACATCCTGGAGCCTGTAGTGATGTTGAGGTTAAGAAAGATAGTGGTGTGATACATTACGGAAAATGTTAAAAACTGCATTGTTATTTCATTATACAGCCTACTAATAGTTTGGAAAAATTCCAACTCCCTTCCTTTGATTGTCTTTCCCAATCAAATATATTATCAGACACATGGACTTTTTGTCTTGAATTATCACTCACTATATGTCTTAAGGTCAGGGATTGCTTCTTTCGTATTTTAGGTTCAGTATTCTACCAACTGTGGGTATGCAGTCAATATGAAATGATAATTATACTAATTCATATCTGTCTAATCAGGCATGCATGATATATGACACAGAGTATTTAAGCACTTAGGCAGTGATTAGCCATAATAATAGCTGCATATGATTCTTCTAATTCCCGAGTTTCATATGCCATCTTGGCTAACTGTTTACAGGCATCATCATCTCCTTTCTCTTCCTCATCAACATCCACTAACTTTTATTGTGTGTGTCACTGTACAAAGCATCCTCAGCTATTTTAGAGGAAGCCAGAGTCTTTAGACTTATTTTTACACATTTATTTGGACTTATCACATTTTCTGGTTTCACAGAAGCCTAGCTGCTGAAATAATTTCATTTCCCTCTGCTTGATTGCTCAATTATTTTCTCTTTTTCCTAAATTAGTTTGATTTAATGTCATATCAGCACTTTGAATGCCAAGGCTCAATGATGTAAATCAAGCATATTCACTGCAGGATGCTATTCCTGATCTCACTGATTTTCTGATACATTGTGGCTTCTGGGGTGCTGGGGAGTGTGAAGACTGAGTTTGAGACTTCAGTGGTAATGAGGATTTAGACCAATGTCTTTTGCTAAATGTTCTTGTTTAAACCAGTGCCTTTCTCACCCTTTGATATCTTTTGTCAACAATTTCCAGGCCTTTGCTATGACCAACCAGATTTTGGTGGAGAGATCAGTGACAGGTTGGAAAGAAATAGAATACGAAGTAGTCCGAGATGCTGATGATAACTGTGTCACTGTCTGTAACATGGAAAATGTTGATGCTATGGGCGTACATACAGGTAGGCAAAGAACATTCAAGAATTACAGTAATATAGTCAGCTCATGTTTCTGATGACCATAGCAATCTTTATGAAGTTGTTTACTATTCCTGACTGCCAGACTAATGATAACATTTTATATTACTGGAAATAGTTGTACATTTAACTTGCTCTTCCCAAAATTCCTATGAAGTAATATAGGTGATATTTTGTTTTCACTGAGGAACAAGTCAAATATAAGTAATGACCTATGGGTAAAATCTTTAAGACTAATGTTAAAAGTAAAGAGGTTGAGAAGGCCTAAAACAGACTGAGGCGTTAGTTATTAAGTGATTGAGAAAATAGTCTTAGATAATATTAAAAAAATAGGTTTCTCAGCAAGGTAAACCAGTTAGGTAAGCGAGCAAAGATCATGACTTGTATTTTAGAAATGCTAATTTGAAGTGTGGGTGAATTTCTCAAGTAAGGAGTTGAGACTGTGGAAATGGAATTCAAGAAAAGAGGGTAGAAATAAAAGGTTCAAAGTCTTTTGGCATGAAGAAAATAACTGAAGTTGAAGATGTAGATAAAGTATTCCAGGTGTAGAGACAGGAAAGAATAGGGTCAGCTATGAGCTGTGGAAACATTTACATTTACAGGGTGGGTGGAAAAAGAGGTGCTGAAGACAAAGAAAGAAGAAATGAAAAACCCAGGGTAGAACAGTATCAACTAAGCCAATGCAAGGATATGTTTTTTTTTAAAGATGTGTTTTTGACAGTATGATAATGCTATGGAAAGTGAAAAATAAAGATTTCCTTTGAGCGTTTAGATATATGAGAACAATTTCAATGCAGAATTAATTCTGGAAGTCATATGGAAAGAGATTATATGGCAGCAAGGGCTCAGGAAATTAGGCAATCTTTTGAGAAGTTTAGTCATGTAGAAAAAGAGAGGAAAGGTTTGTATGTGTGGCCGTGTTGGGAGATAAGCTTCTTGGCAGAAGAGAGATGAAAAGACTTGTAGAAAAATGGATAGAGAAACCACGGACCATGAGATTGAAGATACAAGGGGCTGCAATTGGAAATGGAAGGGATAAGACAGACCAAAGATTGATGATCCAGACTGGGCAAAAAGGAGATAATATTTAACTGAAAGAACAACTACAGAAATAATTTGAGATGAATGAAGAGATACAAAGTTGAAGAAGGCATTGCCAACTGCGTAGGCAGATGAGAAGCTTTGATAGCTAGGGGAACATGGGCAGCGTTAGAGGGGTTTCCATAAATCATGTGTCAGAATAGCATGGGTAAATCAAGAATTAGGCAGAATACGTACTATCTCTCATATACAATCTCATATATTTTATGTATGTATAATGCACAACCTTAAGATAATTATTTTCCCAGTAAACTCTCAGACTATGTCTTGTGTCATTTAAGTAGGTTGTTAAGTGACTGGAGTTGGTTATTAAAAGATGCCATCCAATAATGAGTGCTACTTGGATCTACAGGGGATTCGGTTGTTGTTGCTCCTGCCCAGACACTGTCCAATGCAGAGTTTCAGATGCTGAGACGTACTTCGATAAATGTTGTGCGCCACTTGGGCATTGTGGGTGAATGCAACATTCAGTTTGCCCTTCACCCTACCTCAATGGAATACTGCATAATTGAAGTGAATGCCAGACTTTCCCGAAGCTCTGCCTTGGCCTCAAAGGCTACTGGGTAAGGATTGACCACGGGTTTGCAAACAGAAGCAGAAAATGGATTGCTACTGGAAGACTGTGCTGCACTTGTAAACTATATCCTCCCTTTCTGTAGCTAGGTAGAAATCACTCTTGGGAGCTTGAAGACATTATTATTAATGAGCTTGTTGACAGATTCAGGCAAATGGTATTGCTAGCTGGCTTTATTTGCTGGCTAATAATAAACTAATCAACATCTGTATAGTCAAAGTGCGCTGTGAAAGATCTGTTTCTTAATTGCACTCTGCAGGTAATATTAAAAATATACATTAGTCCTTCATTTTCATCTTCAGCTGGCTTATTTTGGTACATACCCGCATACTAAGTGGTCAGTAAAAATTTAGTTCACTCAAAGCAAACCTTCAATGTATATAATTTTGATTTTAGCGATATTGTACTTGATAAAAGCATACAGTATTATCTATTTAAAATAAGTGAACGAGTAAAAAATTCCACAAGCCTATATAAGGTAGAATTTCTCCAGAGGTAAATGCTTCAAACAAGTAAATAAATCCACTGTCCATTTAAAAACTGCAAGCAAGCATAATTAGAAGGAAATTTAATTAAAAGCTTTTGTTCAGCTAGGCATGATGGCACAACCTGTAATTCCAGCAGTTGGGAGGCTGAGGCAGGGATTGCTGTGAGTTTGAGGCCAGCCTGGGCTACATAGTGGGTCCAGGCCAGCCTGAACTACACAGGGAGACCCTATCTAAAAACAACAACAACAATAAAAGTTTTTATTCTATTAATAGCTTTAGCATCTGACATTTAAATTACACCATATTTGAATGAACAAAAATCCTTGCTTCTGTAGGGTTTTTTTTTGTGTGTATGTAGCTACACAGTACTTCATGGAGTGGTAGATAGTGTGTTGCTCTAGTCAGGAGTCACAAGACTTGAATTTTCACTTTGGTTTTCCATGAACTGAGTGACTTTGGGGACACTAGCTGCCTCCATTAGTTTCCTCATCTGATGGATAAGAAGAGGTACTAAAGAACTACTATTCAATTCTGTACTTCTATGAGTTATTTTCTCAAATAAAATTACCCAAACTGACATTTTAGATGTGGATAGTTTCCAGAGTTATTTTGTAAGGGACCCAATGTTTAAACATAATTTAGGGACAGAACCAGAACCCAAACCTGTAAGTCCTACATTTTCTGACCTTTACAATGCTCTCTAGGTACTGTCTTTCTCGATATAGATAGGTATACATGTTTTTTCAAAAGAATACCTGCAGATTCACATCTGGGTGGAGGTCAAATACTACTAGAGGTTAAATCTTATTTATCATGGAAACCGTTGATTTCAGGTTGGAAAGGGGAAGGATAAGAGGAATAGTAGTAATGCACAGCACAGGAAGTAGATTCTCCATTGCCTTTCAGCTCTATCACAACTTGTATTATTTTGTAAGTGGCTATTAAATATTTATGCAGAGTAGAGAATCTGGTGTGTTACACATGAAGCTGGAATAAAACTAGAATTTTAAAGAAAGATCAATTTATATTTTTGAGCTATTCTCAATACTCATTGCTCAAAAAAAAGCAAAACCAAAAAGAAATTTGTCTTCTTTATAGCTACCCATTAGCATTCATTGCAGCAAAGATCGCCCTAGGAATCCCACTTCCAGAAATCCAGAATGTTGTATCCGGGAAGACGTCAGCTTGTTTCGAACCTAGCCTGGACTACATGGTTACCAAGATTCCTCGCTGGGACCTTGATCGTTTTCATGGAACCTCTAGCAGAATTGGCAGCTCTATGAAAAGTGTAGGAGAGGTGAGTTCTTAGTTATTTTCAGTCATTTTAAAAAATCCTAACACCACTGTAAATGTTCAAATTGCCCAGAGCCTGGATTCTTCTTTATATGAGTGTTAACATGCAGCATTTGTTGCATAGCTATTTTGCTAAATTCAGAATATTTCTAGTCAAAAGATGTGAGAATATATATTGTCCATGTACATATATAAAAACCCACATTCATGTAAATAGGGTTGAATTATAATGTTTTGTAATCAAATAATCAAGATAGTAAAATAACATAAAAGGCAATATCAGACATCAAAAGGACTAGAGAACTGATGGTTAAGAATTAGCTTGAATTGTGGCTTTCATCTCCTGGGACCTCAGCTTTCCACATTTATAAAGGAGAAGCCGAGTAGATTATCTCTCAGGGCCTGTCCAGCTCAAAAGGTCCAAATTGAGAGGGGCACAATAGAATATTAAGCCTCCTTTCTTTATAACATTGGTAAGTTCTAAGCTTTGAGCATCTTTAGAAGATTTGTCATGATGTTTGTTTTACTATTTAAAGTTAGAGCCAGCTTTTGATTATACCATGTTCAAAGATGCCGCACTCTTCAGTGTGGGAGGGAGGAAACGAGTCGAGCTCCTTGCCTCTCACATTCATTCCCTTTTCCTTCTCCACCAAGCTTCTCTCTCTTTACATTCAGGAGATTGGCAGCGAGCGTGAGACTTGAAGCCAGGTGAACTCAGTGTAGCTCTTGATTGCCATTTCTGGGATAGAGATGCTCAGGCAAGATATCCAGCCTCAGAATTCACACTTGAGACATGTAATGATAATACCTACCCTGCAGGGTTCTTAACAAGGTTAAGGTTACTGCATGTAAAGGGTCTAGCAATGCTTTTGAGGGCAAATTCATACTACACCTCAATGTAAACCATTGTTATTACTGTTATTTAATTTTATTCACAAATGGTATGTAAGGGTAGATTTTTGAGTACCTTTTAAAAGTATGCGTGACTGGAGTTTGATCCCTGGAACCAAAAAAAAAAAAAAAAAAAAAAAAAAAAAAAAAAAAAAAAAAAAAAAAAAAAAAAAAAAAAAAAGAAACACTCAGTACAAGTGTGCATGAAATGAATCCCTGTCTGTCTGTCTATCTGTATCTATCTATCTATCTACCATCTATTATCTATCTGTCATCTATCAATCTGTCATCTATCTATTTGTCTATCACCTTTATTTAGATATCAATACTGGCTTGAGTGTAGAGAAAAAGATTATTTGTGATGTATTATTCTGTACTGACTTTCATTTGTCCTGTAACACAAGATTACAGGCGAGGCTGAGACTAACCGTCTTAGAAATTCTGTATATGCCACTAGTCAAAGGAAACAGTGTAAACCCATCACCAATAGAGGAGAAGAAAAAAGAAGGCATTTTAATGGTCAATCATAGTCACAGGAAAGGCAGTGTTATTACTAGTTTTCTTAATTTCCAAGGTATAAATGGATGATTCTAAATTAATGACAGATAAGAGACAACTGGACCTTTTAAATAAAATGTCTTGCTGTGAAACACCAAGTAGTGGGTTTTCTCCCTCCATAGTCAATATGAATCTTATTTTTTCTATCATGCTTTTCAGGGCAAAAGGGAGAAGAGCTCCAGGGTGTGAAAACCTGCTTTGGTAGTGTTTGTGTTTTAGCCAAAAAACAATTGTTATTTAATGTTGACTTCATGGGAAATGTTCTCTTTCTTAATGTTCACAGTAAAGCTTGCAGGCTAAAAAAACTTGAATTTAAAATGTTTTTATTTGGGATTTATTATCTGAGAAATTTTTGTGGTAGAGGATATTTAACACTTTACATTTGGCTTAACTCAAATCCTCAAACCTTTCCTGAGTTCTCACCACATACAAGACACTGAGTGGATAAAGCAATGAATTTTAGATAATCATAATGCATTGATATAGTTGGTAAGTTCAGAATATACAAAGAGGATCAATTCTAATATGAATTATTCTGTGATGAAAGTTAAAATACAATATTTATGCATGGATGCTGTGAGAATGTAGCAGGAAGGGTTAAAGGAAGGCCATGATATTTTACTGAAAAATGGTGAAATTTTCACTTAATGAAAATGAATTTTAATAACATGAAGTATTAAAAAGCACAGAATTTGAGCAAACACAATTATGCATGCCTAATCATTATATAGGTGTTCTTTCTTCTTTTTTATTGAATGGATTCCATATATTGTAGACTTAAGAACAGTAAACTAATATGAAGGGTCACTTATGAGATTAGTTACTTTAAGGCTAAATTCTGTATATGTAATACTTTAAATTTTATTAAATATCCCAAAATCTTTTCTTTATTGTATAGCACCATAAAATACCTGATTTCTGACAATTATCTTTTATTTCTGAGCTATACAATGAATAAATATGTGGTCTAACTTTTTAAGATGCTACTATGATTTGCAAATATCATATCGGAACTGGACTAAAGTTTTGTTTATCCTTGCTCTTGTGACTCTCTTTAATCCTAATTAAATTTTGGAACAGTGTGAAAAGGTTATCTGTTTGGCTTTAGTGATCTTTGAATATGTATTTTGTCACACAATTGACATGACGGTTTCCCATACTGACACTAATGGGAATTGGAGTCTATTTGAGGAATCACCAAAGTTTACTGAAGGCAGCATTACGGCTCTTATTATTTTAAATTGAAGAGCAAAAATGCATAATAAATTACTCCTTGGAAAGATTCAGACAATTTTTATCTAATGAAAATAATTGGGTAGATTGCAAGGCCAGTTTAAGTTTAGTTCTGACTTGTAACTTGTTCAAACCAACTCAAAACTTGGTTTCTCTAATGGATTAGTATACATTCAGCTGTAAAGACTGTAGGAAGATGTGTTGAATTTGTCATGGGGAATTTAATCTCCATCTACATTCAAAATAATAACTTGTAAATATTTGTTATGACTCTCAAGGTTTTATTAGCTTTAATTCTTAGCTATAAAGAAAGCCAAGCTTTCATGAATACTGACTGATACTCATTATAAAATACTTCTAGCTGGGTGCAGTGGGTCACATCTGTAATCCCAGCACTTTGCAGGCTGAGATAGGAGGACCGGAGTGAGTTCCATGTCAGCCTAGCTTACCTAGTGAGTTCAAAGCTGGCTTGAGGGGCTGGGGATTTAGCTCAGTGGCAAAAGCGCCTGCCTGGCAAGCGCAAGGTCGTGAGTTTGGTTCCCGGTACTGGAGAAAAACAAAAAAAAACAAAACAAAGCTGGCTTGAATTACATACCAAAAACCTGTCACAAACAAACCCTTCTGTTTTTGTGTTATTAAACATCTGATTTCTCTTTATTGCTTTTTATAGTAAAAGAATGCATCATAAAAGTGGGAAGGTATTAAGAAAGGGTCTGTTTGCTCCAGCCACATTTTCTTTATTTTAATATATTACTATGGCTCAAAGCAAGTACAGGTAACTTGCTCATCAGTTTTAGCAAATACAGCTGAATTCTCTAACTGGTAAAAGACTGATGTAATGTCATTACACTAAAACCATAGAGGAAGAGAATGCACAACTGAAAAACAATACCTTAAAATTTGAACAGTGTTGTCATTTTTTTTTTTTTTTTTGTTCTTAATCCTTGTGGAAAATATCTTGCATCTAATCATTACAAATTTAAAATGTGTAAGTTCCTTCTCTCAATAGGAAATGTTAAATGTGTGTTATAGGTCATGGCTATTGGCCGCACGTTTGAGGAGACTCTCCAGAAGGCTCTCCGGATGTGTCATCCATCTGTAGATGGTTTCACTTCCCGTCTCCCAATGAATAAAGAGTGGCCGTCTAACCTGGACCTCAGGAAGGAGCTCTCTGATCCATCCAGCACGCGCATCTACGCCATTGCCAGGGTAATACATGCCAGGGGGTCCAGAGCTACTCTTTATTTTTTTCTTTTACAATATAGTCAGCATGGACTTTGGGAAAACCAAACCACAAAGTGGTATTGAAATTCAGGGATTTGGGGAAAACTTTTTAATTTTGTTCAATAGAGAGTTAGACTGGGGGCTTACACGGATTTCATTAATTATTTTATAATTAATAAAAGATTATCCTGTTTTATTTGACTGTAATCCTGGGCTTCATGGCACGTTGCAGTTTTAAAAGGTTATTACATAGATAAAATGTCTCTTCCTCTTAGTATATGTAGTATCAATAATCTTAAGTAAATTTGACAATATTGACTTGCCATTTTCTATACTTTCATCCCTCATTCCTTGAAAATGTGTAAAACTGTATTTAGAAAAGAAAGCCCATATGGTTGTGTCATTTAGTATGTGCTACCTAAGACCCTAGCATAATTTTAATTTATTTGCTATTTTTTCTGTGTTTGAATAACAACAAAGGCAGACTCTAAAGAACCTCTATGATTACAGGCTTTTTTATGTAATTATTTTATTGTATTATTTTAGAACAAAGAAGCCCCACATCTCCTCACTTCTACTTCCTTCGGATGCAAATTACATGCCTTATTAAGCCTTTCTCATATTTACTGTGCTTAGAGTTTTGAAGTTTCAGTTCATCTGATTGTATAAAAGGTGACTCGGGCAGCTGGAATCTGGTCAGAAATCCCTGAATGGCTTTTGACATTTAAGGAAGTTCAGGCATTAATCCTTCAACAGTATCAAATCACACTGGGTCTCCAAAGCCCCGCTAACCATTTTATGTGTATGTGTGCATATGGGATGAGTTGGAGAAAATACAAATTTTATCCTTAAGAAAGAAATCCACTTTATCGTTTGCCTTTGGAGCAACAGAAAAATGCAGCGTTTATGATTTTGAACTCACTGTAATTTTTATATCCATATGCTGAGAGTCCTGGGGCGAGAGGAGAAGGAGAGGAAGGGATGTCTTCTTCACTGAATCTAATATGTACTCTCCTCACTCTTATGATTTTAAAATTTAGAATGTTTACATCCCATTGAAATCCCAGGGGACACTATTATCTTTTGGTGGATGTTTTCAAAGTTGGATTTCAAAATAAACATTTTTCTGAGATGTTGGGAGGAGTGCAGTGGTGAGAAATTATTCTAGAAAGCCATTTCACCTTTTAAAATTAATATTGTTCCTGTTGTATTTGGTCTTTTATTCAAAAAGCAACTGTGACATTCACATGCACATTTGTGGATGCATTAAAACACACACATGCACTCATACACACAATTTTTCCTCAGGCCAAGGACAGTAAATAGATATTTTTCCCTAAGTTTGGCAACCCTATGTCTCCCATTTTGAGGCAGATGGAAAAGGAAAGCATTTCTGAGTTCCCAGCTAGGCTGTAAAACTCAAGCAAATCTCTCATTCTTTTCTAACACGTATAAAAGCTGAGAATTCAGGGCAAATGCGTGGAGGTTCATTCTTGCACGGAGTACTCTATGTACAAGCAAGAAGTGCAGAGCCTGAAATATAAATTATGTCTGCCAGAGCGCTGGGAGAAGGAACTGATGTCTGTTTGTTAGAGGTCATCATTACTGTTCATTTCCACAGCAGCCAGGAACTTGGTGATTTTGACAGAGTGTAAGGACTGTGGAAGGCTGAAGGGGAAAAAGAATGAAGGGAGTGTGTAAATCTCCCCTTGCTTTCATGATTCTTAGAAAAGGGCAACTTGCTCTGAGGTCTGATTTTTTTCAGCAGTCTTATTTCAGGATGACTGGATCATCATCTCTTTTGATTTGGGGAGAATGCAAGGCAATATTTTTAAGTTTGGGAACATTAAAGTAACCTCAAACATGTTTGGGGTCATTGTGGACTTTGTTACCGCGGTGTAACATGGCGAAGCTGGAGTACAGGGAGATGTGGTCCTAAGAGACTGGCAGGATTTTGCTTTCTGTCTAAAGCTACAAACGTGACTGAGTTATTCTTCCTCATGGTGAAATGACAGTAGGGTTGTGGGTCTTCCTTCTCTATGCGTGACTGGATGAAAACTTCCTATGACCTGTTAAAAGTATAAGTAACTTGAGGTTTAGTCTACCTTACAATTCTGATGGCAACAGTTAATTGTTCCTTTAATCAGTTGGAAAATAACATAGATTATAGGCCCTGGAAATATGACTTAACATCAGGAAGAATTCATCAAGGAAACACAATTAGACTTAGGAAAGCTATGATTTTAGATGTTCCTAATAGATATCATTTTATTCTAGCCCATAGAATTGTGAGCCGTGCTGTATCTCAATACATATGGTAGAGGCTTTTCTGACATCAAAAAATAAAAATATAGGGTGTCATCCTAAAATAAAGTGGCTTGAAATATTATTATTTTTCAACAGAGAATATATATCTCTGTGTGTGTATATATTAGTCAGTTTTCTCATTACTAGGATAAAATACCCAACCTCAACCATTTAAAGGAGAAACAATTTATTTGGTTCATGTCTCAGAGGTTTCAGTCCATGGTGGCCTGACGTAAGCAGGAACATCACAGCAGGAGGATACGTCAGAGTAAATCTGCTTAGTTCATTGGGGTCAGAAAGCAGAGTGGAGAGGAAGTTGTGAAGCATCAGACACAGTACCCAATGTCATGCCTCCATGATCCACTCACAGACTTGGCAGTATCTTTTGTAATCCACTGGGTGTCTCCCACACGAATCAATTTGACAATCTACCTTCACTGGCATGATGTGCATATCAACATTTACATATATATCTATATAATATACATGTTATATATGCACATATATATCTACATATACACTCATAGAAATAATAAGAAGGAGCCTCTTTTGAGTTTGAAAGTTTTGGTTTTGGTGGTTTACCTCTCCTTTCAGCTGCATTTTCTACTTAACTTTATGATGCAGTTGTACTTGCATTCTTGAGAAAGTGCCAAAAGAAGCTTGGGGGAAAGACTAGGCTGTCTCAAATCGATCCCAAATTATTACAACATTGCTTTGAAATTTATTAGGAGTTTGAAGAATACCTGTCTGAGCACAAAAGTCAGGTAACTGATTCAAAATAATTTTCTGTTAGAAGTTCTTTGTGAGGAAATATTCTTAAAAAAATAGTGGCAAGACTGATTGGACTCACGGATCCTCATTGCCTGTTGTATGTTGAATTGAAAATAGAACAAGACAGTGAACGTGTGTTGCTTGCTGGAGATAACTATCACGGTTATCTAATGATCAGTATATTGATTTTAGATTTCCTTACCAACCAACTTGACTTAACTACAGTTGCAAGAGATTTTCTTTAATTCCAAAGACATGTCCAGTGTAGGACACGTGTAACAGAGGGCAGGACCAGTCACTAGGATTCCACTGAGCACAGGTCACTGTGACAGCTCAAGGCAAGTCCCTCTTCTGGGTGCCATCCGTGGAGATAGTCAGCAATATCTTTAGGGTTATTGGAAGCAACATCAGCGATGTCAGTTTCGTGTTTGACTCTGAATGATGTGGAGAAAAGTGGCTGCTCTATGTTTCCAGTCAAATAATACATTTCAAATTTGCCAATGAAACTTTCTGTTCTCTCTCTGTCAGGCCTTGGAAGACAACATGTCCCTTGATGAGATCGAGAAGCTCACATCCATTGACAAGTGGTTTTTGTATAAGATGCGTGACATTTTAAACATGGAAAAGACACTGAAAGGGCTCAATAGGTAAGGCAGGATGGCTCATACTCACTCCAGGTATCTTCTGTGCAATCGCTGAAGGGACTTTGTCTTACCTTTCAGCATTTAGCCAAAATTCTGTTTCAGTGAGTAAATAGCATCAGCATCAGCAAATATTCACCATTACCAGAAGCCAAGTGACAGTTTTTAAAATTTGTCTTTCAAAGATATCTATTAATATGTGTAACCATCTTCTATCCCTGCTCTCACCATCAAACATTGTGATGAGATCTTCAGGTCTTTTGAATTTACGAATACTTGATACACATGTATGCATGTTCATGTTGTTAAATTACCAAATATTACCTAGATTTCAATTTTATCATTCAGCTATGAAATGAATAATACCTCTTTTCTATAACTTTTCTCTTAAACTTTGAAGTCCAGCTTTGACTTTTAATATCAGTGTACACATTGGTGTATCCTGATGAGAAAGGCATTCCTTTTGCATTCTGATGCTGGTGACAGTGAGATTTCCAAATCAGCATGAAAAGAAATCCACATTCAGGTTTTTGTTAGTAAACTCTTTACCTTTCACCAATTTACATTTTTATCTCCTGCATAGCCAATTATTTCTAACTTCCTTTTCATGTTGAGACTATTCTAGTAAACTTAGTGTTTTAAAAAAAATCTACTTTTTTACCTTCCACAAGAAGAGTGTTTTCTGAGGCACCTGAAGCTTAGAAAATTGTGGGTCTTCAGCATGTATACAAGATAAGAGGAGCATTTATTATAAAATTAAGATACATAGTACGGTCCTCCTTCAGCTTCTCCCCTCTAAGAGAGCTCTGAAATACACTGCTATTAGAAAGAAGAAGCCTTACAATATGTTAAGACTGCTATTAGAAAGAAGCTTTACAATATGTTTAGAAAAGGAAAGGGTGTGTGTGTGTGTATGTGTAAATTATTCTCAAATGATTGGAGAAAATTTAATTACTTAAAATGTTGTTGAGGACAGCAGACAATCTCAAAGCCAGTACTGCTCATCTATTTAGCAACTATAATATACCGTTCAGTAGCTGGATTTGGTCTAGTTGAGGGGTGTACCACTTGGGCAATAATAAGAATACCTGCTTTTCTTTGCAGCGAAATTAGATGTTTTTTTTCTAAATCTATTTAATAATTGCCCTGTCAAGTGCTTGATTCTGAAGCCTGGGTATTCCTATCAGACAAAAAAGAAATCAGCTTTAGTTGCCTGTAAATCATCCTTTCAAGAGGTCACATAAAATGAACAGCAGATAGCAAATAATTTAAGAATTGAGCCTCTACATTCATCTTAGAATTTTGCTGACTTGAGATTCTCTTTCTTCGTTTATGATGCCAGCAGAGCTTCCACGTTGAGTTATGGTTTGTTCTGCTGTTCAGTTTCAGGCAGCGATTCCAGATGCCTATGAAAGCACTCCAATTAAACCACAGGAGGGTGCTAGAAACTTACAGTACGCCAAGAGTAGCAGTGAAAGAGACCCGGGTGGGAAGTAGCAGATGTTATTGTGATTTAAATTTCCACCTGATAGACATTCTGATTTTTGAACAAATTTAATGTTTTAATTGAATAGTTTCTGTTACAGCCAGTAGGCAGGTTGAGATTCTAACTGAGCAGAAATAAGTGCATATTGATGACGAAAAGATCCTTGGAGGATTGGAACAAACAACTCACTGTGTAGATCACTTACAGTGTCTTTCTGACTTCTACATTCTGCTACATTTATTTGCTGATAATGAGAAATTTTCAATCTCCATTTCCTGGTGTATTTTAAAAATAAAGATAATCTATCTTGTTCATAATGATCTGTATTAAAAACATTTAATATAAAGTTTGTGATGATTTAAAAGATTCCCCCAAATAATTTATTATCTGTCTGATGTGTCTACATCAAGGGAGGTTAAAATACATATTGTACAACAAAAGCTAAAGGAACTTGGCGTGGAACTCAGAGATAGCATAAGTAAACCTCAGACCTGAACTCAATTATCTGACAGACAATTTCCTGTTTATTTTTTGTAGTGTCAGTGATGCACAGATATGAACTATTTGGTGATGCTTATTATTTACAAATGTTAGGTAAATGAAAAGAATGGTTTGCCACTGAAGCTGTCTGTCTCTATCCTTCTGTGGCATGTAGGGATCTGATGTTAAAAGGATATAAAAACTGGTGAATTATAAGGGTGTAGGACTTGGCTGTCCTCACCCTGTTTTCTTATCCTCACCATTAGCCTGGACCACAAACTCTTGTACTTTTTTCCCCTCTGCATTTAAATATTCAGAAGGGTTAGTTCTCTAGGTATGCACTGCTCCAACAATAATCACAGTTCTGTATTCATGGCTGACTAATGTAGCTAGTTTACTAGGTTGGAGAGGGGTTGAGAAGATTAGTTACTCTTTTTACATTTGCACTGATTTAAAGATCTCAATTTCTCCTATGATGGAAAATCTGATTTTGGATATAGGGTCTGGATGTAACTGTTTATTTGATGTGTTATCAGAGGATCTCAAATTTCTCCTGTCTCAGCACATCTCTGGTGCCAATGTGTGCAAGTTTCTTTACAAATTTGACATGGGTCCCTTAGGAAATAGGCAACAAGGCTCTCATTTGGGAGAAGAGAAACTTAGCGAGAGGAGGAATATAGAGCGCTATACTTGGATTAAGTTTTATTGGTTTCCTTCCTTGTGCATTAAAGCAGCATGGGCTATAGAGCCAGATCTATTGGGAAATAGTCCTATCCACTCTGAAGTCATGGGTGCACTCTCTCCTTCATTCTTCCATCCTCACATTCTTGCTGTCAATATCTACTTCATAGTTTCTTGTGAAGCTAAAATGACATAAATATAAATGACCTCTGGTACATGGTGACTGGTCAAGAAGCATTTTTATCTTTTTTGAAAATCAAAATACTACTTGCTATGAAAAAGAGCATTTCATGATTTTAAATGTATGCATTTAAATGTTCATTTCAAGAGTCATTCTTTGCATGTGTTTATATATTTTGCCATGCATTATCTTAATTTTCTTTGTTGTATTTTCACTTATTTTAATACAAGACATATTTTTAAAGAAACAGTGACAGCACTATACCTATCACAATATCAATAGCAGTCTATTGTGCTAACGAACCAAACTTCATGCTCTACAATTGTTAGTTATGCTAAAATTTGGAAATCTAATGAACACATTCCCTAAGAGAGGTCAGAAACCACTTGAACTGATGCCCAGTTTGTGGCTTGTATTTGCCTATAGTCATCTGAAATGAAGTCTATACTTTGATTTCAAATATACACACATATTTAGAATATATGGACTGTCAGTAAGCTGATATGGGGAAGACAAAACAATCATTATAACAAAGCAGCTACTATGGAAATATCTGATGAATTTTCTGTGCCTTTGCAAAAGTAGAAATTGTAGTAAGAGATCCCTTTACTTGAAGGTTAGAGGTAAATATGTGTTATGAAATCCCAGCCTTCTGCAGGGTGATAAGCAAAGGTAAACAGGTGTTAGAACAATCAGCTCAGTCCTTTTGCTCTGAGTGATCATCTCCATTGAACTGAGGAAGCAGTTTCCATGCCATGAGCATAGAATGGCAACCTTTGCAAAACTTCCAGAGCAGTATCCAATTACTGGTTTAGTGATAATCATTATTCAGACTGCTTCAGAAAAACATTCTCTTTCCCACTTGAGTTAACTGACTTTTTTCCTTTTCCTGTTAAATTGTTTATGGCTGCCCAACAGGATCCTAGAAAAGTTTACCATTCAAGGCAGTTTTCCCAGTTTATAAGCTAGTACAGTGGCATTACCCAGGGCAATAGGATTTATGGTGGATTTATTTAAGGTTTGATAAGTTTCTCTTTACTCAGTGTGATGCGAACAGTATCACATAGTATTTCCAGGGCCTTCTATGGCTATACACTGGAATTTAGATGTTTAATGGTTACTAAAGTTCCACTAACCTCACATTATCAGAGACCTCTATAAAGAGTTTGACAAAGATGAAGTATTTTTTTTGTACTGCAAGAGGTGCACAAACTTTACTGCTGACCTATCCAAAATTTAGCCCTTATTCATGCTAACACTTACTCTTTCACACATTGTGCTTCTCCCTTTTAAAATTTCCATAAATACTCACTGAAAAATGTGCTTATTTTCTATTAAAAGAACAAAAGTCTCACAGTCCTTTTCTTGATTAGTACATAGATTTAATTTTAGTCATACAAAAACATCCAGCCTGGAGAGAAGTGCAAGTACCTTTAGTCAAATAAATATATCAAATGTCTTTGTTAACTAGGCTCTTCTGATGTAGAAGGTTCTCTATAGTAACAAAAGAGTGGATTTAGAACTCTGTTAATACAGAAACTTGAGTTTTGATTCCATAATACTGAACGTCTTCAAAATGTACAATTCTGAATGTCTTCAAAGTAAGGTAATAATCACCAACTTTTTGAAACACATATCAGGCACTGTTCTGAGCACATTGTTCAAACCTGAGCAGGACTCCAGAGTCTAGGATATTTGATATTTAAACTGTTATATATTTGATGTTTAACCTGTTTGATTAGTTAAGTATATAAATACATACTATCTATGTTTAGGGGTATAGAAATGTAAGTTAGATAATATCTGGAGGAATAAGACTACATATAAAAGACACTTTCAGTATGGTTATATTATCCAATAATAGTCCTCTTGCTGTGAGCCAGCTCATGATAAATGTTTCAACTGTGTTAATAATCAATAGACAAGCACAGGTATAAGGATTCCTTGGTTGAACTGACATTGCTACAAGTAATACAAAACATTATAATCTATAATATCACTTTGGATTAGCAGTTTTATAGTGAAAGAAAATCCTGATGCTTAAAGGAAAAAGAAATATGAACAAGCAGGAAAGGTACGTGAGAATTCCAATTACCAGCTTTGAGTACCTGCTTATTCTGTGCCTGTTACTCTAAAATTAGAATTTAGTAGCTTTTATTTTGGGACTTCTCTAGCTAT